TGCCATGGATAGAAATGGTGCCAAATAGAGACTTTAACTCTGCCTCTATTTACCTTATGTGTTAATTCTCAAGGTAAGATTTCTCTCTTTTTTATGTGGGAGGCTCACTCTGTCACTCAAGCTGGAGTGCAGTGGTGTGATCATCGCTCATTTTACTCTCTGTCTCCTGGCCTCAAGCAATCCTCCCACCTCAGCCTCCCAAGTATCTGAGACTACAGGCATGCACCACTATGCCCAGGTATTTTTAAAAAAGAATTTTGTAGAGGCAGGGTTTCCTTATGTTTCCCAAGCTGTTCATTTTCAAAGAAAATTTCAATTAGGTTTATTTGTATACAAAATATATGTGACTTTCTATTTTAAACCACTATGAAGAGAAATAGGAAACAGTTGGGCACTTCCATGAGAACCTGTAGGTAGGTTAATAAAAGTGTTTTTCTTGCTTAAATATATCCTTTTACTGCTTATAGAAAAAATAAAGTAGAGAAATTATGAGAACAGCCTGGGAATCCTCACCCAGCTTGTGTTTTGAGCATAGTAACACATTCACACTGTTTTCATAAAGGAAATTACACATTTTGGAATGAGGCTCGAGCAAATTAAAAACACTGGAAAACTGAGCATTCAAAACATCATTTTCATCACCATACTTTGGCCATATACACAACTTCCAATTCTAGAAATTTGCAAATATCTAGAAAAAGAAAGGAGAATGGTGATACCATATCTCTACTAAAAATACAAAAATTAGCCAGGCATGTTGGTGGGTGACTGTAATCCTGGCTACTTGGGAGGCTGAGTTAAGAGAATCTCTTAAACCCCGGAGATGGAGGTTGCAATAAGCCAAGACGGCACCATTGCACTCCAGCCTGGGCAACAAGAGCAAAAGTCTGCTTCAAGAAAAAAAAAATACCATTCAACACACAGGCATGGGCAAAGACTTCATGACTAAAACACCAAAAGCAATGGCAACATAGCCAGAATAGACAAATAGGATCTAATTAAATTAAAGAGCTTCTGCACAGCAAAAGAAACGATCATCGGAGTAAACAGGCAACCTACAGAATGAGAGAAAATTTTTGCAATCTACCCATCTGACAAAGGGCTAATATCCAGAATCTACAAAGAATTTAAACAAATTTACAAGAAAAAAATATTCCCATCAAAAAGTGGGTGAAGCATATGAATGGATGCTTCTCAAAAGAAGACATTTATGCAGCCAACAAGCATATGAAGAAAGCTCATTATTACTGGTCATTAGAGAAATACAAATCAAAACCACATTGAGATACCATCTCATGCCAGTTAGAATGGCAATCATTATAAAGTCAGGAAACAGCAGATGCTGGGGAGGATGTGGAGAAATAGGAACTCTTTTACACTGTTGGGAGTGTAAATTTGTTCAACCATTGTGGAAGAGAGTGTGGTGATTCCTAAAGGATCTAGAACTAGAAATACCATTTGACCCAGCAATCTCATTACTGGGCATATACCCAAAGAAATATTAATCATTCTATGAAGACACATGCACACGTATGTTTACTGAGGCACTGTTCGCAATAACAAAGACTTGGAACCAACCCAAATGCCCATCAACGAGAGACCGGATAAATAAAATGTGGCACAAATATACCATGGAATACTATGCAGCCATAATAATGGATGAGTTCATGTTCTTTGCAGGGACATGAATGAAGCTGGAAACAATCATTCTCAGCAAACTGACACAAGAACAGAAAACCAAATACCACATGTTCTCACTCATAAGTGGGAGCTGAACAATGAGAACACACGGACACAGGGAGGGGAACATCACACACCGGGGCCTGTCAGGAGGTGGGGGACTAGGGTAGGGATAGCATTAGGAGAAATACCTAACGTAGATGACGGGTTGATGGGTGCAGCAGACCACAATGGCACATGTATATCTATGTAACAAACCTGCACATTCTGTACATGTACCTCAGAATGTAAACTATAGTTTAAAAGAAAAGGAAGAGGGAAGTTTGCAGGAATTGAGGAGAATTAGAAGTGAGAGCATGGTCAGCTCAGACTGAGAGCTTCACAAGGCAATCCAAAAAGTACAGCAGGAAACAGACCAGCAAACTGCACTATCCAAGATCTCCCTGGCTGGAGGGGCAAGACTGTAATAATACACAGATGATCAGGAAATCTTTTGTCAGGCTATCTTTCCTAAATGTTGAAGGCTTATTTTTTATAACACATGTTCATAATATTTAGGCAAAAAGTGAAATTAAAGAATAATAAAGAGATTAGAAAATAAACTGAATGAAAGTCAGATTCCTTTATGAAAGGAGAATTGAATCCATATTCCCCTACTTCCAGACCTTAAATAGCTCAGATTAGCCCATATGTAATACAAAAAGGAAGTTAAGTAGAAAGTGTTTGATTAGACAATGAATCACAGGGAATTCCAATGAAATAAACAAAGATGACCCAACCAAAAAATTTAAGTGGGCACCAGGGCACAATCATATATCAAAGATTTAGGTTTGAGTTTTCCATATAGAAGCCCACATTTTTCAACATTGTTTTCTTGTATAACTATATCTAATATTCTTGTACTATTGAGAAACGTTTTTACTGTGTGTATGCACACACACGTATATATTTAGTTTTAATATAATGTTTATTCTTATCAGCATCTGGCCTTCTGCCTCTCAGACTGCTGCATCAGCCCGGTAACCCAAGATCCTTGGCTTAGGAATTCAGGAAAGCTTGTAAAGGTGACCCTGCAGGGCTCTTCATTTCAGCCTATTTAACTTGAGGTCAAAGCAGTCCTGAAGAAGCTGCATTTATTGCCACAGTGTTTGTCTTACAGGGAAATCTCCCAGATGCAGTCAATGTGTGAAAACCAATCACTACAGGAAAGCAGGAGAAAGGAAAGAAATTGCCCTTCCTTTAAGGAATGTGGAATCTTTTCTTTTGAAGAGCAGGATTTAGAGCCCATAATCCTGTGGATGGATGATGCCAACATTCAACTCTGCTGCTTATTCCCCATGATTTCTCCACTCAACCTGTGACGAATCAGCTTCAGGGATTTAGAAGCTTTCTTATGGGACTCCTCTCACTCTGAATGATGGTGATTAATTACTAGTGCACTTTAAAAGTCTCCTCTATTTAATTACATCCTCTTGAGTATTTGGACTAATTCCTCTTAGTTTCCGCTGCAGATCGGAATGTTGCCTTCAGCAAGTCTCATGTTTCTCCTGCTTACTCACTCAAGCACATACATAGATATGTAATAAATATTGATTAAGGTTCTGCATTAGGCTGTATTTTTATCAGTAAGGATTAATAGGCATAAAAGAGCGACATAATCTCTACTCTGGAGCTTAAATGGCATGTGTTATAAAAACACTTTCAGGCTGACCAGCTCTTCTAGTGCAGCAGAGAAGAGTCATGCCTCCTCATTAGCCCACCTTATAGGGAAGAAATGAAGACTCAAATTAACTAAATCACTTGTCTGAGATAAAACAGAGAACCCAGAGACAAAGCTGGGACTCCACTCCAATCTTTGACTACTGAAGCCGAAGATGCCTAATTAATGAAACACTGAATTATTCTCAGTGGTGCTGTTGGATAGTTATTTACGTTTAGGTTTTATGTTTGTGGTTTTCTGCTTAGGAGGTAAGAAAGGTGTCACAAACGTTAATGTTATGCTTAAGAATTGACATTTACTGAATTCTGTTTTACTGGGGCAATACTGTGAATTATACAATTACACTGTACCTTGGATTAGAAGTTATTTAACTCCCCAAAGAAAACATACCAGTTAGAAATGGATGCTTTGTGAGAATATTCTCTGCCTATTAGGAATGTAAAAAAGTACTTTTAATTCCCATTTAAAAGTTATAATTGTAACCTTAAAAAAATCAAAATCTGTTTAAATCAAAATCTTTTTTGCTATGTATGGTAAAAGGTACAATAATGATCAAACCATGCTTTGCTCCCAAAAAGATAATGCTGAGTTGATACATACATTTAAAAAGTAAATAAACTATTTAACTAAAAAGCTAAATATAAGTACATGTGGATATAGATAACACCTACTATCTAAACTCTAACCAATTTGTTCCCCAAAACAACTCCCTGAAATAGGCACTAGTATCCCTATGTTTCAGATATGAAAACTGGAGCTCAGAGAGTTTAAATAATTAGACAAGTGTGACATAGGTAGAAAGTACTTTAGCAAAAATTGAGCTCATTTAGGACTAGATGTTGGAATTAGACAGAAAAAATTAGACACAAACATTGTGTCTAATTCCAACATCTAGTCCTAAATGTACTAAGCCAATTTCTCATACACTCAGTAAACCAAGTCAATAATTAGGAAGCACATATTCTTTAATTTGTAAATTTTTTTTAGCAATCAACTCAGTCCTGTATTTATAGATGCAGGATTTAGATGTGTTCCTTAGAACAAACAAATTAGGTAGGTGAAATTTTAAAGCAAACCCTGTTGAGTGTCAGGCTTGGTTTCATTTGCCTTGCTATTAAGAACCAGACAGAAATATTTGCCATAAGCCATTGATGACCTTTGACAGGAGCCTACAATTATCGCTGACAATGAAATAAAACATGTTAAATTTCTGTGCAAACTGATTAGCCCGGGATGAGTCAATACTGTTTCCAGTAACTTCTAAGAGGGACATCTCTACATACCAAAGTTGCCTGTAACAAATTTCATCCAGGGGTCATTTAGGGATGCTTAAAAAAATAGTAAAAAGACAGTAACAGTAGCAAATTTCTTGTGAACTTTTAAATGACACCGTAAGAAGAAAACAACCACTGTGTTGCTGACTTTGCCTTCTCTCTCTCTCATATTAGTTAACCCTAAAAGTGTAAATATAAACAAATTAAATCCCCAATGGTACATGTGAACCAGGAGAAATCTGGAATTAATTGCGCAGTATTTTGGTTCCTGTTGCAGCTGTTACAAGTGTTTGATTTGGTGAGGGAAAAGAAAAGGCGCCGCATACCGATTTCGTGAGCCACAGTGAAAGCTGCGTGGAGGCCATCATCTTCAATCACAGCACAGCTGCGCTCTGGAGAACATATGGTCCCAACGTCTGCCATTCCCAGGGTGTCACATGAATGATGCCCACATAAATCCTGCCCGGGAGAAGAAAAGAAATCATTAAAATCAATTTATATCCAGAAGGAGCCGCCACATACAGCCACTTGCTTACCCCAAATGGCAAGATGGGGATATGTTTACAGTATCACCTGTTCCTCTCTGGAAAGATTCCAAAAGCAAACTCAAGGCAGAGACTCCTCTAAAGTACTCTGGGACCCAGAAACACAGAAGGATAATGGAACTCAATTACATTTAAAAAGATGTCTTAGGATTGTAGCTTGTCTATTACAATAGCACCTGAAGCCTTAACAAAGCTGTAATGTATATATGTCTCAGATCACTTTCCCATATGGTCATGCTTAGGAACGTCCTAAAATTCTGATGAAAATTCATGCTAAATTTATCAAAATCTTGCATCGTAATTTGTTTTCTATTACAGGGGCAAACTGCAACCAGACATCTGCAACAGAGTATAAATTTATTAGGAATTTGGATGGAAAATTAAATTTTATTCCGCAAATCTTTGAAAGGTCATCTTTAACTCGCAAAATGAGCTGTAATTGTATAGATTGTGTCTACTGAAATCTATGCATTTTTACTCAAAACATTCAATGTAGCATTTCTCAACTTTACAAATCTGCAGAAAATATATGCCATACATAAGTTGTATGTACATGAGTATATACATTTTTTCTGGTAAAAAGTCATAACTTTTCATAGATGTCATATAATCTTTTAAGAGATTCTCAGATAGGAATATTACCCCACCTACTAATGGTTAAAAATAATCAATTTAGATAAAAGGAACCTCAATAAGCCTCTTAAGATATGAAACATAAAGAGAAAACATAAGCCACAACTTTTTGACATGACAGATTCATAATGATAAACTTTCCCTTTAAATGCTGTTTGAGTGTTAATGAACTTTAGCATTTCTTGTGCTTGACCACAATTTTCTATGAAAATTTACTAACAATGTGCCCATTTATATCCCCAAAGAGCGAGATCGTGTTTCTAGTAAGCCATAGTTAATAACTTCAAAAGGGATAGTTTAAAAAATATATTATTTATTTCAAAAGGCTTTTATTAATTAAAATAATAAATGTTTATTATATTTTATAAAATAAAGTTTATTAGTTAAAATAATAAATGTTTCTTGTCATACAGCAATCATCTTTGTATGTCTAATTTCCATGCTCTCCAGCTTACAGAGTAGGAACTCAACAAACGTTTGCTTAATTGAGTTGAATTGGGACCTACAGTCATATGCATATAGTGCTCCCACATCTTTAATATGCTGTATGCTAGCAGAACCTCAACAGGCTCCATACAACCAGAATAAGGCGCTGTGACTACATAACCAATGCTCCATACTCAATGGCAACATACTCTTCTAACCCTTTCTTGTGTTGCTGCATAAAAATCCAAACAAGGTGAAAAGTATTTAAATGCTCAGTCGTATTCTCTCCGCTTACTATGTTCTCGGCTCCTTATTGTGTTCTGTTTATCATGAGTTCTCAGCTAAGATAAGTTACAGCGTGGCCACCACGTTACTGTAGCTTTAGACAGTGGAAATCTCAGACAAGTAGCCTTGGTTAATCATGTCACAAAACCAACAGCCTTCCAAAGTTTCCTGTGTATCCTCACATGTCATCCCATGGGATACCAAATTACAGCTGTTGCAAACAAATTAGTAGGTTTTCAAATTGAAATTGGAGCACACTTTTGCATAATAATCAGTCTTTGAGATAATAATATAGTACAATACATTTATAACCCCCTCCCCCACAATCATTTCAGTATCTCTAGGACCAAAAACCTAGGTCATGGCTTAAGGGAGTTGCCAGACACTGTAGGTTATATCTGTACACAATTTATAAAAACAAGATTTATGTTTATATCACAATTTGGGATTGTTTTCTTTAAGTGATAAAATCCAAGAATTACATATTGCCTTCTAACTCTTTACGAATAAGCTTGGATGAAGAGCCATGGCAAGGGAAAATTGCCTTTCTGTTCTGGATAAAGATTAAACTAGATCCTTAATATCTCTCTGTTTACTGCTAATCAATTGCTCATTAGAGGCCATCAACTCTCCTTGTCATCCTTGAATTGGATTAAATGCATTTGGCCTATTGCCACGGAAATGTGACAAAATTGTGAACAGAAGCACTTGTTATTTTTTTAACCACACTTATTAAACTCCTTGACTACTCAGCCACACTATCTATTTCTGTAGCTATAATTATGTAAACTGGCAACCTTTCTATTTCACTCACACAATTTCAAATCTTGGTAGTACAGTTACGGTTTCAGCCTCAAGATTTATAATGAACATCTGAATTTCCTTGTGAATTTCCTTGTGAACAATGTTGATTTCAATGAATTGAAACTAATGTGCATCAAATTATTAAGAATATAGCATACCACACCCATGTCTACTTTCTGGTGATGATTTAACAACATTTGTAGGTATAAACCTTATTTGAAGTTTATAGAATACTTTCTTAAATTATTAAATTCTGAGCAGGGGTGAATATATTGAGGCAATAGCATATGTATACATAAATACACACATGCTATTATGTATATGTATACACACATATACATATATAAAATACATATGCTATATATACATACACATACACACATATATATGTATGTGTATATATATGTATGTGTATATACACATATATATGTATGTGTATATATATGTATGTGTATATACACATATATATGTGTGTGTACATATATATATATATATACACACACACACACATACACACACATATATAAATCTAGGTCTGGAGGCAGAAGATACCGGAGAGATGTAAATCACATACAATAACATGTAAGAGATAAATGCATTTAAAGTGCTGATGAAAGCTTATCTGTTTGTTCAGTGTAGATCTGAAATTAAATCATTTCTTGGTCATATCAAAGAAGGCTTGTTTTATGTGGAATCAATATCACCATTTTGTGGAGAGTAAGGCAATAGAAGATTTAGTAAAATATCAAGGTTGCAAGAGTATGCAGAGATTTATCCAGTGGTTTTGTGGTATGGTGTTGGCTAGGATACAAGACTGAGACATTGTGTCTAACTCAAAAGTGTATTCATGATGGTCGGCACCACTGACAGAGATTTGATAGAAAGGTCATTGATACTGTGACCATTCACCAGGTATGACCTTTAGAAGGCTATAAATATGGCCAAGCTTGTGATTTATCATAGAATTTTGAAGCTGTAATAATAGCCAAGATCTACTGGGTACTTCTTGGGGATGGGATGGGGGATAGAGAGCCAGCCAAGCATACTGCTTTGAGAAGCGGATGCTCAGAACATGAATGCTGATGCAGGTAGATACCATCACAGCTGCAGCACCAACAGCTGAAATTAAGGAAGAATACCTTATATAGGAGTAAAATAACAGCAACTTCTGTTTCTATAGCTTTTACCTTTTGGTAAGGGCAAGCATAGAGCACAAGGGAAGAGCACAAAAGAGAGTTTAACTAGGTTTCAGATATCTACCCATCTGTCTACACAATTCTTAGTGAAGAGAGATTAGTTATAGAAGAATTAATCTGGCGTGGTACATATTTTAGTCATAAGTATTACCTACACACACACACATGCGTGCACACACACACATGCATATTTGTTCTGTGGATCTGGTTCTTAAGGAGTCATTTGCCTTTCTGGCTACCTATCCAGCAATCCCCAATAATAGGGGTTTTAATTTTAGACATCAGCAGAGACTACATTAATTGGAACTGTTAGGCTAACCCTTACAATGGCCCGTTTTATACAATCTCTATCCTTCTCTCTTGATATAACCATGGGATACCAAACACACAGAGCCCACATAGGTTAGGGGCCCAGGCTTCCAGGAATATTTATTCCTAGAACAATTATCGTGTGCCTACAGTCTGCCAGACACTGTGCAAAGTACTGACACTGTGGTAAATAGATGAAATAAGATCTGATCCTGAGCTTTAAGGAACATCACGATCTAAGGAGCTAAACAGATATGTCAAGAACAAAGCAACCTGTGACTGTCGTTAGGAACAGATCTTTGAGGGAGAACAGAAGAGGCATTGATGAACTCTCCTTGAGGGAATCAATAAAGGTGTCTCCACGTAAGTGAGTGGATTTGATAGCCTGGGAGGAGGGATATTCTGTCAAGGAAAGACTAGTGGAAACATAATGGAATGGTAAAAGGCAGAGTCTTCTGGGAATGACAAAAGGTTTGTTGTGGCTGGAACACAGGATCTTTTGAGTGGAGGGTTAGCAGGGAAGCTGGAAAGAATCTGGCCCCAGAGTTCCAAGTCAGGAAGTTTTCTCTGACAAATATGAGGTAAGAAAGGGAAGAAGAGATGGAGAAAATTGGAGACTGGGGATAGGGGAGTAGGTGCTTGACTGAGTCATTTTCGTGAACAGAAATGGAAGCTGGTTAGAGACAATGAATGGAAAGTAGATTGTTTTTAATTCGACGTTGTTAGTAAAAAGCACTGTGTAATCATTTACATGCTTTGAGACAAAGTTCCTTCATCATTAACATAAGGAGTTTGGTCTGGGTGATCTTTAGGGCTTGTTCCAACTACACATGTCTTGTTATTAACTAAGAGCATTCCAATTTATAAAGAAATGAAAGCTCTGGGGCATTAAGTGCCCTAAATCTCAATCTTGTGAATACTGAAGCTGAAATTCAAACCTATATCTAAACACCCAGAATCCTGAACTTATTTCACCATGGTTTTGCTAAATCATCACTTATGTTATTCTTGACATTAATCTTATCCTTTTTATTCACAATCTGCACTTGGTCAAGCAAATTTCTTTTTTGCAGCAAAGAATAGCCTGGGTTTATCTCTATGCTCTGTTGGATAAAACTTGATAATTTAGAGGTATACTAAATATATAAAATATACCGTGAAAGATATTTCAAAAAACAAGAAAATGGAAGTACTGGGTAAGAAAACTTGTGACATCATTAACTCGCCTCCTTCACTAACCCGTCACATCTAATTCGCCACT